TTTATTTTCCCCTTACACAACTGAGTAAACGGGACTGGACAACACCAAAAGTACGAGTTTCCCGATGATAAAGAAGTTTTGGGACAAAGTGACCCTTTCTCGTACGGCAGTTCTAAATAAACATATGCAGATAAAGCCATTTCCATACCCCAGAGCCTAGAATTGCGAAAAAAGTTTTACGAAAACCTAATGGATTATTATTATTTTTTAGCACCAGCAGCATCGTAGACTATCAAATGATGAGCTTTATTAGATTTACAGTTATTCGCATGCTCGAAAACACTTCAGCTCAGAAAGCTTTCGATGCAGCGAAATTGAGTAAATAATAATAAACTTTTTCGACATTTTTAACGAGAATTAAAATTAATAGAAGTTATAATTTTTCATTGTAGATATTTAATTTGACAATAAAAAAAAATTAAATGAAAATTAATTTTTTTAATAGATTAGCCAAAGCTTTCACAATTTTAAGTGCTCAAGCGGCTTTTAGTTTATATTTAGTACGTAGGAGAATAAATCCAATTGATTGTACGTCTCAAAAGTAAACATAAAATGCAAAAAAAAAAAAAGCTTTACATATGTAAGTTAGCAGCAAGAAGCTTACACATATTCACGCGCATGAATTCACCGCCCCCAAAAAGCTTGCTGAAAATGAAACTTTGTGAAACATGGATTGACAGGTATGAGTATTGGCTGTGAGATAAATGAGAATGAAGAGCAATGAAGAGAAATGTGTATGGTTTTAAGTGATGCTCATAAAATAAATTTGTGAAAGTAGAGACATGAAAGTTTTTTTTTTGTGAAAAAATGTCGTTTTTAAGCGAAGGAAATAAACAAACATTTTTAGTTTTAGAAAAAAAATTACAAAAGAAAAATATTTATTTTGTTGTATATTTTTGGTTGTTGGTACAATAAATTTCTTTAAATATTCATACGATAACTAAACATTTACGAAAAGAAATGAAAACATTTATTCGAAAGCTTGCAACTAAAAGACCTATTTTTGAGAACAATATGAGTATTTATAAAAACTCTCTTCTCAGGTAAAAAAAATTTGTTAAAAATTATTCTCTCTTCAATCTAATATGGTTTTTGCTGTTACAATTTTTGCATTTTCTTGTATATAGCTACAAATATATTCGATTTGAGCACGAAAAAGCTTGACAATTTTATTGCGTTAAGTAGCATTTTACAGTTAAATAAACCCCTTCACAAAAGCATTCCAGAAAAATAATATACAATAGAATAGCTGCTGCAAAATACTCGTATTGCAGCGAAGGCACGAACGAGTGAGTGTTTTGACTGCGCGACTGAGTGAGCATATAGAGGGTGTGTTTGAGTAAGTTTGAGCACGTTGCAGATTGGCGAGATTTTTTGTTAAAGACCCTGTTATTTTGATAAGTTTTAACTGAGAAGAGCTTAAGGAAGCTTTTGGGAAAAGCTTCACAAAGTGTTTATGAATCGTAAAAGACTGATTAAGCTTCAATGAAGCTTCAGAGCAGGCTTATAAAAGCTTTAAGACATATTTAAATTTCGTGTACTGCACTAAAGATGACTCTGTTATAAATTAGTAGCACCTTGGTAGAGTTTTTTTTCAAAGTATTCGACGAAGGGCGGTACTATTTGCCGCATTTGCCACCGCCTACACTCGAGCCGCTCTCCAACGTCAACCTATTCAGCTCATCGTCCAACATGTCGTTAATCTCTTGCACCAAAGCCTGCTCGCTGTTGTCCTCGTCTACAATTTCGTCCGTGGTGAATGTCTTGGTTATTTCGATGTTAACCGGCGCTGGCGTTTTGGGTAAAGGTGGTGGCGGTGTGTCATCGGACGGTACATAGAATTTTGAGTTATCCACTTTGATAATTTCGTCTACTTTCACCACATCACTATCGGTCAGCGGCGATAAGTCGCTGGGAGCCACTTCAACGCCCGAACTAGTTACAATCGGCATGTTTGCTTGTTGTGGCGGCGTGTTGTCATCGCCGATTCCAAAGTTTTTACGTAAAAAGTCAAAGATATTTTTAGTTTTCTTTTGATTTTGCGTTGAGGTGGCCGGCTTTGCACTTGCTGTTGTTGTAACTGTTGGTGATGCCGGCGGTGTGGTGGTTGTGACTTTAATCTGTGTCTCCACGACATGCAAACGACCAATTATCATATTCTCGTCTACCGATTCAGGCGTGGATGGTCCACTGCTTTGTTTCAACACGGGCTTTCCCGTCTGGTCTGCTTGATTCATGGAATCGGAAGCGCTGATGCAACAGGGTATTGGTTTTGGTATTTTTGACTTCCGCTGTAGATTGGGTGTACCATTTGTTTTCGTGGCAACAGCGGGGGCTGGTAACGCGGACTTCAAATGACTGCTGTGCAGTCGCTCTTCGGCGATAATACGCTCGCAAGTCTCAATCAAAGCACGAGAGTGTGCCGCACGTGCGGCCATAATTGGCGAATTTGGTTTCGAGTTGGGGCGCGAATTGCCAGACTTTGAGTTGCTTGCAGGAGCAGCACTTGCGGTGACAGGTGCTACTTTGTTCGCAGCGTCCGGTGTGTCTGGTGTGGTAGGCACACTTTTAGTAGAAATATCAGATGAATTAAGTTGACCGCTCTTATTTGGTGTTTTCGCCAAAAGACCATCACAGCGCCGCACTTGCTCAGCAGTGACTTCGTCATAGCCAGTTAGCGGCACTTGATCGTAGTCGGGCAAGTCGTTTATGTCGATTTTCTGACATATCTTTTCCTCTACAGTGTGCTGACGCTGTGCCTGCGGCGGTGTTGACTTGAGTGCCATCTCTTCCGATGGCTTATACTCCCCGGAGACATCACATTCGCGTACTTTTTTCGGACTAATGTCTGAATAGTATGTACAAGGAGGACGTTTGCTGGGTGGCAAATCATTCACATCCACCTTATCACATGGCGACTCGTCAACGGTCTTTTGTTTTGTGGGTAAGAATGAGTTTGTAGGCTTAAAAGAGTTCAGAAAATCATTACAGAGCGCCACATCGGTGGGCGAAAGCGGCGCGCGTGGCGATTGCGGTGATGCCGGTGGTGTTGTTAGTTTATAGAGCGTTGACACATTTGGTTTGCACATTACCAGCGCAGGCATTTCAGAAGGCACCGTTATAACGGGTGTTATCGCATCATTGGGCTTCAGTGGATCGCCAGTTGGGCGAACTGCGCCTGTCGCTGTTGAAAGAGTAGTACGCGCAAGCGGCAAGGGCTTAAGTGCTGCACGATTTAGTTCGATATTCTTCTCCACTGCAACTGGTGGAGTGTGTATCTGTGCGGTAGTTTCGAAAGGACCCGTATACGTACTGGTGTCACTTGAGACTGTCGATGTTTCCGAGATGATAGAAAGTTTCTTCAGTTCATCTGCGTTGGGTGTTGTCAGTGTCAATTCAGCTTTGGGTGACTGTATGGCTTGCGGTTTCTGCTCAACTTCATTATGTGACCTGGTAATCCTTGCTTTCACAGTAGAAGCGTTAGCCGTAGCGGTTGTGGGTGAATTGAGGAAATTTCTCTTTGTCGGTGTGGGTGATTGAGGTGGCGTTTGCGGTATGCGGCTGCGCGGTAATGGCTTTGGACCCGGCACTGGCGGTGTAGTCTTACCGGCGAACTGATTAGCTGCCACATCATGTGAGAAGCAACTGGAAAGCGCTTTAACGGTGTTCGGTTTCGGCAGTTCATCCGGATTCAAGATGGTTACTGGTGGCGCGCACATAACAACTTCATTGTGGTTTTCTTGTTGCTGCGGGCATTGTCGTTGTGTCGAATGCAACACAGTTGTCACATTGGATGATGGTTCGGTTTTATTTGAAGGTTCATTGACTGCTTGCGCGTTTGGCATTGATTTCGTCTCATGTGCAGCAGCTGCGCTCGTTGGAGACATTTGTTTAGGATTGAGCTTCAGCATTTCAGCAGTCTCGGGTAATGCGGTCACCGTTGTTTGTGATTGTTGTCTCTGCTGCGGTGGCTGTTGCTTAGGAAATTCGATACCAACACCGCTGTGAGTGACATTCATGGGCGACGGTGGGCGGCTAAGTAGTGGCGAAGTTGGTGTTGTTGCGCCTGAAAGTGGCACATATGACTTCTTCGCGCTTAATGTTGGTGTTGGTGGTTTGCCGGTCGGATTGGCATTGTTCATATGCTTCGAATTGAATATCTCCACGCGACCGTTGATGCTGAACGGGCTATCGTCGGGTGATCTGCGCGCGGGCGGTGGACTGTTAACGGGACTTCGGACTGTGTAACGTGCCGACTTAGGTGACATGGGTGGTTTGCCGATTGGATTAACGGCGCGCGGAATCATAGAGAAACCGTTAGATATGAGTACACTCGGCGATGAGCGGGGCGGTGGAGTGGGGGCACGTGCAGTAGATGGAGATGATGGTGTTTGAGGTATAGTAATTGGAGAAGTGACATAAGGTGATGGTGAACGCGGTGACAAAGCTGTGGGGGACATGGTTGACGATTGAAATATCTGTGTGCTTATTGGAGCATCATCTGATGAGAAAGCTGTGCGCGTTTTTACGCTTTCGAATTGTTGAGTGGGGTCAACTGACTTTGGTGAATGTGTCAGTTCGCTGAGATTGGGAGGCCTAACTTTTGATACGGCACCTCCACCACTTGGTGGGACATCGCTTAAAGGCTTCACTTCGTGCTCTTGGGCTTCGTCTAATTCAATGTCGCTCTTGAAGGTTTCTTTAAACATGCGCAGGAGGTTGCGCGCATGAACCATCTCGTTCGAGGGTTTCCGTTGTAGATGTGAAGGCGAGGCAACAGTTAAAGTATTACCCGACACCTCCTCTCCAGCTGTAACTTTCGCCTCAGCTGGATCGTTTTCTTTCTGTTGCTGTTCTTGTTGCTTAATATTAGCTACTTGCTCACCAAAACTAAGACTACTATTATTATGATCGTCAGTAAGATTTTGCAGACTACTTTTTACACTACTAGTACTAGATATAGAAGAGGGTTCAAGCAAAGGTTTGTTAGTAGAACTTACACTAAATTCCATTTCGCATGGCTGTTCGTTAGTTGTTTTTGTCGTCGACGCTGCTGTCAGGCCGTTGGCGATGGCGTTAACTGCGCTGGTGGAGAGTTCTGCAAACTCGGCCTCTATTTGGTTGACGGCATTGGCTGCTTCGGATAGCTGTTGCTCTTCCAGAGCCAGCGCTGCAATAGCCGCATTCAGTTGCTGCTCCTGTTCAGAGATTTCACTGGAGTCGATCTCACCATCGGCGGTGTGTATGCCGCTATCGTCACGATCGATCTCCTCTTCGGGTGCGTCTATTTTAACCACCAGCTCCTGTGGTGGCAATGCGGTTTCCGCTATGTGCACAGTGGCCTGTTTCTTTTTCTCATGAATTTCAACCTGCTCTACCTTCTTCTCATTCTCCCGCAACTTCAAGCGCCGCTCTTCTTCTTCATTTTTCATAATCTCTAGCTGGCGTGCATCAACAAGCGCTACGGGCGGTTTTTTCACCTCCTCTTTGGTAACGGCGTTTTGTAAACTAGACAGGCGATCCTTCAACGGTGGCACTGGTATATCGACTAATTTTGCGTGTGGCGTTTTGCCGACACCACCGCCATTTGTTGAATTGACTAAGTTTTGTTGTTGCTCCAAGCTTTGCATACGCGACCTTACGCTGGTTATGTCGCCGGAAAGGCGTTTAACTTCACGCTTCAAAGTGGAATCTTGAATTTCACCATTGCCGGTTGCACTCTCATCCAATTTGAAGCGGTCACGCAGCGTTACCCGCGGCACAGCTACGCTGCCAGCGCCATTATTGCCGCTCACCAGTGACTTTGGTTCTGTATTGGCATTTTGATTTTCGAATATCTCCTTACGTTTCGAAATATCTATTTTTGGTACATCCACTTTCTTCTCCAAACCCTCTTGACTACTATCGCTGGGCGAGGTAACTTCGAAACCGATAAGACGATCTTCTATTTTACTGCCACGACGTGTGGGATAGACATCATTGGTCACTGTGCAGCTGCTGGTGCTGTCGGGTGTGGTCTCCTTTGGAGAGTTGACGGTTTTGCCCGTTAGCGCCGCATTTGTGTTGACATTATTGAGTTTGAAATTTGTCAGAGCGCTGCCGCCGCTGGCGCGTGAGACGCGTTGCTTATAATCTTGTATGGCGCCTTCATAGGTATATTCGCATGGATCGGGAGAGCTGCCGGGCGCTGTGCTGGATGAGGTATCGTAGCCGGGCGATGAGATGTATTCGCGAGCAGGGATGCCGCTGGGTTTTTGGTTATTTTCGAATATGGCCTTGTCCAGTTCGGCGTTGTCGCTCTGCGGAGAGAGATGAAAGGAGTGGAGAGAGAAAACGATGATTTAAATGTTTAAATATTTTTAAGAAACTGTTCTAATACAAAGATAATGTAACAATGCAAACATATGCGAAATGAGATTTTTGTATTCGAAACTTAAAGATACCAAAAATGTCTCTTATTAGTTTATTTTCTGGCTAGCTAAAAAATTCTGATTATTCGCATGGGACAAAACCTATAAATGAGCATCTCCTTGAAAGGTGAATGATTCAGATTATTATTTTATAAGGTAATATTGTACAAAAGTGTATAAAGACGCAAGACTTTAAGGTTTCGAACGATGTTGCATGGGACCAACTTTAATTCAGAACCAATTTCGCAGGCCGTAATAGTCGACTGATTTGTTTTACGTAGTAATATTTGAAATGCCAAAGTTCAAGTTCTGGTCCGCGCAAAATACCAAATTATAGAAATATAAATTCTTTTAAGCGGAATGTCAAGCTCCCAAAGCGTATTTCTGATATGAAACTCAAAGTTCTTGGTAAAAATTCGTCGGCTGGTTGGAAGTGGCTTAGAATAAATTGTAGGTCCCTCCATTTATCGAAAAAACCACAAATCGGAATAGAAGCTTGGCGGAAAATCAAAAAAATATATAATACATTATATTATTTCAGAAATCCCTACATTCTTGTTGTTCGTTGCTAGATCAGAGAACTTAGAGTTGAGTTAGAGTTACTTTAAGTTCTCTGCTAAATCATGTTCGAAAATAAAGTAAGCTTCGATGTCGGATATCACTGTAAAGGACACACATCGTCCCATGAGCTTTGAATGCATTTGAGTAACAAACATCTTATGAACTCAAAGTGATCTTCGCAGCAGAGAGGTCACATTTATAGCTAAGATAAGCAAGCCAAAGTGTCTACTGCGTCTAGTGATAAGTGGAAAAGAAGATAGAAGTACCTGTAATGAAAACTATCATTTGCTGAATACTTAGGGGCTGAAATACAACTCTGACAGTCATCCACCGAAGAGTGATCGTAAAATCATTGTTTCTTTTTCATTCCTTTATGCTTTCCAGAGTGCTTACGAAGTTTCTATTGTTTTTGTTTCTTCTGTATCGTGAATTTTATGGCTCTCCGGAGCGTGCTTGTTGAACATATGGTGGTTAAGCTGATCGACACGGTCGTACCTCAGCTGATACGAATAACACAAGATCAATCAGAACAAATGTTCAACATGAGTATTACAATTATGTTAAAACAACAACAACAACAAAGAAATAACGCCACTCGAACAGATGTCGTACGCAGACAATGTGTCGAACATGACATTGACACAATAAAAGGCATTTCGGAGAGCGAAAAAAAAACAACAAAAAAAATGGTAGCAATGAGTTCCGATATACTAAAATCAAATAGGGTAAAAGAAGTCTAAAAATAAGAGCAAAAAAAATTAAAAAAAAATCAACTGTTCTGATTCTCTGCTGCCGTTCAATCGATTTTACGCTCTCCTCTTGATTTTGATTTATTTATTTTATTGTACTTAAAATATTTCATTGCCGCATTGCTTGGTTTGAGCAATTTTGTGGTGATTTTTTTTTTTAAGAAATTTTAAATTGTTGTGACAGCGAGGAAATTGGTTGGCGATATTGTTGTTAGTGATTCAATTTCATCAAATTTGTTTTTGTTTTTTGCGAGTACACACGACATGAGTGTGTATGTACATATCACTATTGAGGCATTCCTTTTGAGTGTTTTATGATATGCAATAAATTGTCTTCTACTTCGCCAATCAATAAGTCGACAAGGTTAAATAAACATTAATAACAACAATAAAATTAAGTTAGGGTCGTAAAGTTCAGCATTGAAATCACTTTGTTACTAATACTAATACTAATTAAACAGTCTAAAAATGGGAGATTGAGCTCCGAAAGTAAGCTGGTATTTGCCAAGTCAAAATAATTTAAAATTGGTTGTTCACTCTCTTCGCAGTTGACTTCATAGCTAGCTGAAGGGGCCCAAGTTTATCTCTTAAAGATTAAATCAGCTTAATGCCGACAAGGTGCTGAACGAGTTTCGTAAGATTTACCTATCTGCCTAAAAGATTATATGGTTTTGTCTGAGTAAAAAGGAATCAAACGATTTATTGTCTGAAATTTTCACAAAAAATTATTTGTCGTTCCATATTTGTCGCCATTTTCTGTGACCTCTCGGAGAAGAGTGGGTCTGTGTTAACAATAGAACTAAGGACAGGATTATCCGCAGTGAATAACAATACAACCATTTTATGGGCAATACCATAAACTAGAATTTGTATGAAGGAAGGTAAAAGGAAGAAGAATTCAGATTTTTTTTAACAGAAATAAAATATTTTCAAAATTTTCAAAAAAAAAAAATTTTTTAAACTTGTATTTGATTCCCCCTGAATTGAATCTGTCAGACCTGTGTAAAATTTTAACAAGATTGAATAGTTTTCGAAAACTCTAGACAACCGACTTTGAAAATGCGTTGAAAGCGCTGAGCCTAGCTGTCTTTTAGCGTGCAACTTTCCGACGGTGTATCTCCGAAACTTTCATTCGGATCGTCTCGAAAATTTTGGATTATATTCTCCAACTGTTGTAAGAAATAAAAAGACAATAAGAAATTCGAGTTTTTAAGCCCTGTAACCCCTTAAATGCTCTAGTCTATCTCTAATTCTAATACACTTTTTTTCGAGAGTGCAAATTATTTATAAAAAAAATTCGGCTAAGTCATTTAAGTTAATCACTTTTAAAATTAATCCAACCACTAAGTTTATCCATACTCAATAAACAATTTGTGCAAAATCGTCAAAAATTTCGAACTTTAAAAGAGAAAGTTTATTTATCTGGTACCTGCTCCATTTCTTTAACTTATTTCTCTCTTCCGGTTAACTTTGAAATTTTGGGACGAATTGCAAGATGGGTGAACGTTTAACTATTGTGTGTTTTCGGATCACGATCCTACGATCGTACCCTATCTGATAATTCGGATGGCAAGATTATTAACTCAATTATCATATTGTAACGGTGCAAAGAGTATTTTTTTCACATCAAAACGCTCTCATATATATGGGGATGAATATACAATTTCAGTTGTATCTAATTGCACAGCATGATTGGGTGAAAATTGGCCAGTTGTATTTGCAAAATTTGGAAAGTATTTAACGACAACAACAAAACTGTACAAAAAATTCACTAAATATTCGCTAATGAGTCCATGGCACAGAGAGAAACTAATAAACAAGTACTGTTACTAATTTATCTTTTGAGTTAAGCTTCCGTTTCCATAGATAAAACCTTTTTGCTTTAATTTTTTGTTTGCCATAAAATATGTGTGAAATAAACATAACTAACCGATTTTCTTGCGCTGACCCAAATTCATCGTCACGTTAACAAAATGAACCTTTTAAAGCAATAAAGTGAACGAAAAATTCTTGATTTTTTTTCTAATGTTCCTTTTAGAAAATTTGAAAAAATGCGGTCACTTTATAAAAAAATTTCTTAGATTTTGATCAATGAAAAAAATAAATAAAATTAAAAAAATCCGTAATTATAATCGTACTTGTTTAATTCGGAAACTCTTTTGCTTGACGTTTAGAAGAGTGACGAAATCGTTTCTTGATTTCACAAGGTCAATGCAGTCAATATCGTACTAAATCGCTGATTCTTGCAATTGTTCCTATTTCGCCTGATTGTCTTCAATGTGCAATTTGCCTTTTAATTATGTGTAATTTCCTATATTTACATATATTTGTATGCATGCATGTCACTAGTCTCATTTAAATATACATATGTATGTATGTATATGGAAACAACCTTACTTACCAGTACACTGTTATTGTCGTAATCCTCCGATTGACTGCTCTTGCCGCTGGCGCTGCTTGTGCCAATGCCAAGATCACTCAGATCATTCGATTCGTCTTCATTGTAAACGGCTAATGAGGCCAATTTTGCGCGTCCACCACGTACACCACGTTCTCCTCTGGAATGGAAAAGGCAATTATTATTGTTGTTGTTGTTATTGACGTTAATGAAATGGAAAATAATTTATTGTTCAATATAAAAAGTAACAAAAAGAAAACTTGAAAATTACGCAATGTAAGCTCATCAATGAATCGGGTTGCAAATCTTAAGGAATTATCTTTAAATATATATATATCCAACAAAAGTCGGGCCTAATTTTTGTTAAATGTTTTTTTTTTTTATATTCTAGAATTTTTCTTTGTTTAATATTTTTTATTTAATTTGCCCATCTTTATCCTAACTATACATGTAATCCAAGTGTACAGAATATACTCACCTTTCCTCAATCATTTCGGAGAATGTTTTCGATTTTCTTCGTGTCCGGTCGTGTTCTTCTAATTCGAGTTTCTTCACTTCAACAACTCGATCGATGATATGTTCGACACGTTTTCTACGTGACGATTTCCAATTGTCCAAGTTCTGAAAAAGAAAAGAAAGGTGGATAAATTATAAAACTGCGGTTCCGATGAATAGTGATAAATAAAATAAAATAATAAATATATGTGTATGTATGTATGTACGTAAGAAGACAAGTCATCTCTCCGGGAAGTATACCAGGGATCTACCTACGCTCAATATGTGGCCTGATCTGTTAGTACATATATGTACGTATATACTCATATTTATATTTTAAATAACGTATCATACAAATCAACGGCAAATGTCTGTTGCAAGAACGCAAGTTAAATTCATTTTCGTTTTCTGGAGAATTTTAATTATTTTTAATTATACATATATATTGTTAAATGTATTTTCAAAGAGTGAATTAAAATATTAAAAGAACTGCAAAGCTATAAAATTAGCTTTATATTTTCCAAAATTAAAAGAAAAAACATCATTTTAAATAAAATAAAATGAATAACGGAACAAAATGAAAATAAATAAAATTAAAATAAATTAAACAGAAAAATTTTATATAATAAAAATCATTAAAGTAAAATTATATAAAACAAAATAAAATAAAAATAAGTAAATAAAATGAGATGAAATACCTAAAAATATTAAATAAAATATAATGAAACAACATAAATTAAAACGAAAGAAAATAATAAAAAAAAAAAATAAAATATGATGAAAAAAGAAAAACAAAATAAAATCACTTTAATCAAAAATTATAAAATAAAATAATGCTATATAATATTAAATAAATAATATAAATAAAGAGAATCAAATAATGAATAGTAAAAACAATTAAATGAAAATAATAAAATTTGAGGAAACAATATAAATTTAAACAAAACAAAGTAAAATAAAATGATTAAAAAAAAAAATTTTTAAGAAAAATAAGCACACCTAATAGTTGTTGGTTAATAATGAATTGAAGAATACAACAACGGATTAAATGGGTGATTTTGACATAGTGGTGGAACACTCGCCTGTTAAGTCAGGCTCCGTTGTTTAGATTCCTGTCATAGGAAGTCTCATGAGGAGATGTGCTGATCTCCGAAACAGCTGTCACTTCTACCCGCTTTTTCTTTGTTTGCATAAAAAAATATTCAACTCAAAGAAACAAATCAGGCCTTGAGTTTACTTAATACTATGCTTTAACAAAATATTAATAATGGACGCAAAAACAATTTTAAAATTCAATAACTAAATAAAATGAAGATAAAATAAAAAAAAATTATAATAGTTAAAGGAAATAATTGAAATTGAAAAATTGAAGGAAACGAGAAATTATTTGAAGAAATAGAAGCAGGAATAAAATAAATTAAATAAAAAATGTTAGTTGAAAATATTACAGAAAAAAATAAAATAAATAAAAAAATTAAAAACAAAGCAAATTAATGTAATAACTAGTATAAACTGAAAAAAATGCAAGTTAAACAAATCGAAATTAAAATTAAATAACAAATAAATAGAAAAGTTTTTGCTAAACACTTCTATTGAGAAATTAAAAAATTACAGCGAACTTATGGCATGGAAAATTAAAATAATGCGTAGGTCTTTCCTAAAATTCTCAAATTATAACTGGAAATTGCTGTTGCTTTTCTTAAGCAATAATGATGAGTGTTAACATCTTTTACAAATATTTTCACATTAAGAATGCCACTTTATATGCGCCATGAAACATTCTTTTTTTAACGCAATTTTTAAAGTTGGCAATAAATTTTTAGTTAGTTTCATTCTGGTCATATACATAAAGAGGAGAGTTAAAAATTGCCACAAAATGTCTAATATTTGTCATTTTAATTTGTGGTTTCAAACAAAAGCACACAGATTTTTAAAGCAAAATAATAGTTGTAGGCTTTTACGAAATGAGATTGTAAAAATATTAATAACAAATAAAACAAATTATAATTTTTTTTCAATCAAATGGAAATTTCTATTTCTAGAAACCTTTTAACAATTCGTTTTTTCTGAAACTCAAGCAAAAAATAAAACAATTTTCCACACATAAAATTAATTGACGTTAACCATTGATAATCAATGAATGGACTTTTCTGCTCACCACCGCAAGTGAACCAACAAATCTTGCACAAATAAGAGTACCGCATTTTGACTTCCGAACTTTCTCTAAAAACATGTAACAAAACACTCGTAAGAGCAAACAATGAAAATAAATAATTAAAAGTCAAAAACCAAACAAAACACGTTACACTTTAAAACAAAAAAAAAAAAAAATAAAATAAAATAAAAATAAAAACTATTTAAAATGCTACGAAGAAAAGCGCAGTTGAATTATGCAATGGAAATAAACGCTGTTTTAAGTGCATACATACATATGTGATTTTTTAACATATAACATACCAACATATAATACATGCGAGTAAATAGAAATATATGTATGTCACTTTAGTCGATAACGACTTCCTTTCCCACCACTTGAACAAATCAAATAATTTAGACAAGTCAGTTATATTTATGTACATGTAAATATGTAATGAATAATTATAATCATGCCTACATGCATTAACTATGTATAAGCTGATATGCACACATACCATACATATGCATGTATTTAGATACCTATTGAGTAAGCCAAGTTAGGCAACTTAGCCGCGTCAGCATGCCAAATAGTCAATGGGCCAATTGAACCAAAGACCAAGAGTCCAAACAATCGAACCAACAATGCTGGGCGCGTATTAATTAATTTTCACACGCACAGGCACATTCAGATGTACATAAACGTATGAGGGCATGTACGTATTCATTACCTAAACAGTAGCTGCAAATCGTGTGATTACAAGCAGAAAAATGAGAAGTCTCATAAATAGAGGGCAATCAATGAAGAAAAAATCGTGAAAATTAAAATAATAAAGAGATAAGAAAATGTGGGAAGGTGTGGAAAATGACTTTCAATTTAAATTTAATAAAAAATCTTGAATAATCGATTATAAAAGATTTGATGACTTTCGTGAATGAGATATATAAATTTATTAGGAAGAAAAGAAATCAAACTCATAAATGATTGTGGGTCAAAGAGTATCATCTAAAGGGAAAGTAATTTATTGTAATAAGAAATATTTTGAACTGTTGTAAAATTAAATATTGTAAACGAAATGACCTAATTTGAATGTATATTTCTCGTGTTATTTATAAACGCTGAAGCGATTTTCGATACAGCTCTTCCTCCAATCTGTTGTGAGTCTCTTGATGATTTCCCATCAAAGTTTAGTTTATTCTAAGCCACCTCTAATCCCTCTATAAGGATTTGAAAGGCTGTTTCGTCCTTTACAATGATGGCTCATTCAAAAAAATTTGATTTCATCAAAGCGATTCTCAACCATTATATATTATATTCAACCCTTGCACGTGAGAACTCGTTAGGGATCATATAATTTTTTTTTATATTGGCGACTGGATAGCATTATATACTAACATATGGATAACCGGGGTTGGAGTCTTGGTACTAATTGCAGAGTGTGTCAAACCCTCTGATTGTATTTCTGACATGAAATAAAGGTTTCTCATAAAATCCATTGGCCATTCGGCGGTGGCTTAGAATAATCGGTAAATCCCTTCATTTGTTGGAAAAACATTTAGACACAAAATCACAAATTGGAGGCGCAGCTCGATCGAAAATCACTTCAGTGGCTACAAAGCGCAGATTATATTATAATATATAGTTATTTGTTGAAACCGCCAGACAGCTACAACATAAATAGGTATCCAAGAGGAGAGACAGACTAGGCGTATTAATTTGGATTAAGCGGCACTAATTCAAATTCTACTTTCACCTTTGACAGACTTCGCTGAAGTGATTTTCGGCCGAGCTCCTCCTTTAATTTGTGGTTTTGCATTTTGATGTCTTTCCGACAAATGGAGGGATCTACAGTATATTCTAGTTCGCCTCCGAGGAGCCTTTATTTCATGTCCGAAATACACTCAGAAAAGTGGGCATTCCCAACCGAGGGACGACCGCGACTAGAAAATTTAACGGCAGTACGCAAAGCTAACAGCAGCTAGCAGCTGCTTTATTAGCAAAAAAAAGGAGAATACTTATTTAAAGAACCGTAAAATAAATAATACATTGCATTCATATCTTCATTAAGAAGAGTATAACTAACGAGTTAATGTAAATAAAGCCATCGGATGCAGATATGCTTCGTAATCTGTTTGCCCTAGGAGATCGTGAGGCTTGATAGTCTGCACACGTATATTCAAATAAGTATAGACACTGAATAGCATCGAAATCGGAAGACTATATATTAAAGCATCACTACAGCTGATTTTCATGCTCAAAAATGCTCCTAAAAGCAAGAAATAAGAAAAATAGAAAAATAATTAATTAATTAATTATTAATTATTCCTAATATGCATAAGACTTGTGTGTTCAAGAAGGTAAAGATTTTGGCATTGCCGATTGCAACATGCCTTCACGCCATGCTTCATATTGCGAACAGTAACAGCATCTTATCCTCGTTTCTACACCAAAAAAAATTAATATAAAGTATATAATTCTTTAAAGAAAACTTTGCTCGTATATTGCACACGTTTTAGACAAAAGCCTTTAACTATAAAGTTAAAATTTAGTATACTTACATGAACTAGTATATGACTGGTATGAAACTGAAGCACAAATACCAGTCTCTAACATATGAAAATCTTGTACGATGAACTACTGGGTGGTGTAAAAATACAAATATCATAATAATTTATATATTTACATATTTTACAAAATATTCAGCGGCATTTGTTTTTTAGAAAATCGGTTGATTTTAATCCATCAATGCTGTGGGTTATTTTTTTTTACTAACTCTAATGTATAACTAATGTATATCATGAGTGTGAAGAGTTAATGACCCGTTAAAAATCCTAAGCAATTTTTTCTTTCAATTCAATTTACGATGAAATAATGACAACAACCATAATTGACACAACGCCTGACTAATAGTGAAGATTACGTAAATTTTTTACAAACATTTGTAAATGTTCATATTTTAAGGTGGTTGTGTATGTACAAACATATGTACATGCGTACTTAGGGCTGACACATAAACCTAATGAGAATGACGCTACTTTTGTTAATGGAAATTTTAGAGCAACAACTACTACTGAAATAATTTTTTGACAAAATCGGCTTGCAGATGTTGTTGTAGACCACAACAAATACGGATATTTAAATTAAGATAAAACCAAATGAAAGTTAAATTAAGAAATAGTTAAAGGTGTTGACTGCGTAAAATGAAGCAGAAAAGAAAGTACTTAAGTACATACATACACGAGTATATGTAAATATGTATGTAGTAATTTGTATGATACGAATTTTGATTACTAAATTTATAACACACTACTCTGTGCCAATATTAATGCACATGTCTGTAGGTTTGCATGCACCACATTTACTCTAAGCGCCATTACGTAACCACAGCCAGGCATTGCAAGCAACCAGCAGCAAAATGTCATAAGCTCTTTGTAACAAACTCTAAGAAATGTCCATTTTTTATACAGAAGCTTGTGTGAGGGTATGCTAACCACGCCCGATGAAAATTGCAACTAACATACCAACATAGCCATGGTGCCTGTACTACTATTCGTAATGTAGATAGTAAAAATAAAAAAAGCATTGCGAATACGAACCGCGAGCATTTCAATTGAACAAAATAACAAATTACCCAAGCTGACGAGCTTTTAATACTCGAACGGAATATTTCATGTTGCAGCAACACTGCAAAGCACAAGCGCCAGCACCAAACAACTGCCATCGCTTGGTGTGCGAACGAGCTGGAATTGACCACATTTCACGATAACTCACGATACCTCACGATACCTCACGATAGCGATAACAGCTGTTCAAGTGTCATTAAATGCCGTTTGCATTCAGAGTGAACTTCGCCTTAGCGAGTTTTGGTGGCAAACGGTTCATTGTGACAAAGAGCCAAAAGAGGCAGTAAAAGTGGTAAAATTAGCTATCCGCAAAACAATGTTACAAATTACCGTCTTTTATCGCCATTTTTGTGCGTATATATTTGTCTGCTGTTTTCGAAAATTTGTCACGACTCGCGGTTATGTCTTCTATGTTTACACTTCGTACTGCTGCGAGTCGAACGTCGGCTGCCTTTCAAATTTTTATTTACATTAGTCAACTGAATTTTGCCTTAAAGCAAACGAAAAGTGGAAAAATAGAAAAAACAAATCATAACAATAAACGAAATCGAACAAATGTGCAGCAAATACAGCGCAAAGCGTTGTTACACAATAACCTCAGTATATTTTCAAAATATCATAGTTAAGGAAAACTCGTACACCAGTCTTGTATTATATGATTTTCGTTGGCAAAATTTAAATTTCACACACCCAAAATTAATTTTGAACGTAAACACCGTGGTAATTCGTGAACACAAAAAATGAGTTTGTTGTCGCAAATTACAATATATTTCCGTATTTATGCACTCATTTTCATTGTACATTAACTATTTTTCCTCAGCCTTTTTTGGCGCACACACACCACAACACAGCTACGAACAATTTATTTTTCTAAACAAAAATTTCGGATATTTTTTGTGTAATTTTTATTTCTGTCATTAAAATTCTGTATAGAGTTTACTGAGTGATCGAGTAAAAATTTATTAATATTAAATTATAAATATTAACACGAAAATTTTTTTAAAATTTTGAATGAGTTGGTCTTTTTAGACGTGTGGTTTCAATGAGGCCATACTTCGGAGTTGGTATTTTTGTAACCGCTGTCAAAAAAATTTATTTATATTAGATTTTCCTGCCATTTCATACTGAAAAGACTTACTTCGTAAGAACATGCAAATTTATTACCAAAATAATGGTTCGGCTTGCGCGACACATCGCGTGGTGTGCCCGAAATTCAGTCTACATAATCGCCCAGCAGAATCGGTAATCCGAGCAACCATGAATCGGCTTCGCACCAAGTTTACTCTAATAAACGCTGTATGCGCACTGAAGGCGCTAATGCTGCTACGTAGCAGAGTAAGGGAGAATACCCAAATGAGTCCATCCGTCATCGTGCGGACAATTGGAGCTGTGACCCATTCACTTTGAGGGGGATTATGCCGAAGAATTGTAGTTTGCGAATTTGAAGCGAATTTTTTACGTAGTGTAAATTTTTTAAATATATTAAATTGGGGAAAAATGTATAGACATTTGACTATTGAGATTGGTTAAGCCGATTTAGGTAACTTTTTTCTGTACTTCTTAATTTTCAGTAGACTAATTTTATCTAAGAGACTTCCGGGTGCTGAATAGGTGAACGATCAGCCGTTCGCAGGCGGTTTAATATAAACTGTAGGTCCCTCCATTTGTTGAAAAAACATCAGGACGCAAAACCACAAATTGGAGGAGGTGCTCGGTCGAAAGTCGGTTTACCGGTTATGAAGCACTAATTGCATATTATATATTGGAGAACGATCTGTTAAACAAATCTTGCTTGAACTTTTATCCCGATAGACATATGCAGTTTTATTTTTCGAAAGCGCACCATGAACCAAGGATCAGTGAACGTGACCATTTTTTTTTTTAGATCACTCAGTAATATGCTTAAGAATCATTCAGGGCGGAATTTCAGATCATTTCGCTGGCTCATATTGATTCAGGTATTCACGTATTGAGGCCTCATCTTAAGATACCATCTTAATATTCAATAACAACTTATATGAGTGAATCATTGAGTGCTGCAAGACGGAGATAGATGACACATTTTTGATTAAAATCAGTCAAACTGAGTTCTATGCGCTGACTTCCGAAAATCCCAGATTTATTAGGGAAAGCTTAAGCTATACATACATTTAATGTCTTTCTAGTTGAGCAAATGCACTTTGTAAGGGATATATGAATTTTAGATTTGTACATAAATTAATTTTTTCTACACGAATGAAGTGAAGAAATGTGTTCAGATTGCTGAATGTTAGTCTATTCGCTAGGTCAATTCTACTTTAGTCTGGCATCTTACGGCTGTGGATATTTTGGCAAACGGTAAAACTGCAGTCAAAGATAAAGCTTCGCTATTTACGGTTGTTTTTGAAGTAAGCCAAATTTATGTGGATTTATCTCTCTTAGGAGTTGCACTCAAGGAAATACGAGTAGAAACGTTAATATTCGGCGGTGACACCCGGTTTTACACATAACCTGAACACAGATATTTCAAGATCCTAGAGGAAAGCTAGACAAAGCGGGAGATTTACAAGTTTATTGAGGGTCTCATATTGGAAGCGTACAAAAACTTGGTACGCATAATTTTGCTTTTTGAAATATTTTCTTCATTCACTAAAGTATCATTTTACGCCATAAAAATGATCACTTCCGCCACTGCGATCATTAATATTTCGCTTTACTGTCAGTCAATTTATCACTTCGGTAAGTCAGATATTCCACTAATCGATAAAACTTTACACCGACTACCATTTTGAATATCATTAACTGCAGATTTGAGGTATAAAATTATTTCATAGCTGTAAATAATAATAAATAATATTCTTTTACCTTATTGAGAAATACGTAAAATTATTATTATATTACACAAAAACATATCTACTTACATTTTGCCAATCTTCGGGCTCCTCCTTCTTGATCTCCTTAATTTTTTTCACTTCCTCAGCTTTTTTGAGCTGCTCCTGTGCGGTTTGATAGAGATTACATGGTTTGATCTGTACAAATTGCATTGGATTGTAGGACGGTGGCGGCGGTGTGGGACGAGTGACACGCGCTTTGGTCACATATGGTGTGGGATCTGGCGATATAATGGACTAAAAATAGAAAAAAAATTTATATAATAGTTATGTATATATAATCTTCTTTATTTTTTTCCAACTAAATGCTAAATAATACTATAAATAATTAGCACAGACACCGGCGGTTATAGCCAAACTCCTCCTCCAATTGGAGGACTCTTAGTTTATTCTAAGATACCTCCGAATGGTCCATGGAGGGGAATGAAGAGATTTTATTTTACGCCAGAAATATACTTGCAGAGCTTGACATTCTCTGTTGAGGAACGACCGCAAATAGAAAATTATTTTTGGATGTTGGTCGGACCAGGAAGTGGCTATAGCTGCCATCCCGATATATATACACGACTGCCAAACTGTTGTGGAAAAGCAGAGTACATTTCTGTGAGTGTATCTATGAGTATATTAATTTATTCCTGAAGGTGTTCTGCGTAATTTTCCTCCTAATCATTTGCTTTTTTTTATCTGTAGAACGTGTGGAAGAGTCTGTAATGTCAATCCATCTACATACTAAATTTGATTATCCCTGCTTAATTTTACTACACTTATGTTTCCCTGCTAAAACCCGAATGAAGAGTGAGGGGAATATTTCCTTATTTTTGTTTCCATCACCATTTCTCTCACCTTCCACTTGAGCGGCAAACGCTTGGCCTATTGTCGCCATCAAGTGCTCTTTGACAGACACTCAAGCACTCACTCACACACTCGTTCCGTCTGTCAGACAATCCCCTAGTCATTAAAAAATTGTCTATATGACAGAGTTAGGAAAATGTGGCATCTATAACGTTTCATTGATGGGCGGCTGTTTCGTTGACATGGCTACTGGCTTGAGACGACCCGTCGCCAACCTTTTAATAGATAATTTGGTGTTAACCAACGCAATGAGAGTACGTTTCGCTTTACTACGTTAGTCGTGTGTAAGAGACGGTGTGCCAATGAGTTCGCATTTGCTTCTTAAATTAGTTGTAAGTCAAATAAAGATGACCCTCTGAGGCTGAGACCTTCGTATCCAAAGGAAATGGAAGCAACTAAATTTATTTGGTTTTTACTAGAGTTCTGCCATTGCTTTTAACAAGAAACAAGACTGGTGAGCTTTCCTATATTTTTCCTCTACATAAAAGGTGAATTGAAACCCAGCTGACCTCGTTTGACTTCCATAGATTTCAAAGTAGAACTAAAAAACTTGTCTGTGTTAGTAAACTGCTTTGCGTTCCCAACTTACTATTCCTCAGAAACAATATTTAAACTAGTAGACAGCTCGCTGCAAGAGTATTATTTGGAAGAAAAAACCTACTTCTTTCTCTAAGTCAGCCGTGATTAGACGTATACTGAACCTCGTCATTTTACGTTTAGACCAAAGGTAAATCCGTCACCGAGATTTGGTAAGCTAACTTGTCAAGTATGACTGCCAACAAATAAACAAAGCTGAGAATGGCTTGTACTCATAATACCGAACTTCAAAAAGCTTTGAGAGGCCTGTACTCTGTTTAAGTTCTGACAGATTTTCGGCTTAAATGAGCGGCGCTTTCTTGAAAAACTTACATAACGGCTGTGTCAGGTGTTGAAGCGAACCTCTGCTCCATCGCAATGTAGAATTTTCCTATAGGGAACACTCACACAATATAAATTGGCTATAGACACTCCCACACATTCACGTTGCTGGGTTAATGTCTGCAGTAAAAGTGTCGGTTGGACGGTCTATAGGCTGGTTGCTTGCAACCTCACCGCGAAGGCACCTCATTGCACCGTTATAATGTGGTTTATTGACTTTTTAAGATCCTGCTCAACGGGCAGCATGCTCTATCTTCTTGGCTCAACGTTGTCGGCGGATATTGGCGCTTAAGAAATGCAGCCGACAGCAGCTTGAGCTTGAGCAAAAATCGGCGCAGGAGAGACGCAGACATTCTTGTAAGTAGACAAGGTAAAAGCAAGAGAAATGGAAAATAAATTAATGTTTGCACCCTTAAAACATTGAAAATGACTTCAAATATTCACTTTTCAACGGCAGCAAAATGACAAAAAAGTAGTTTCTAACATACAAAACTCTTCCCGCAAAGCGTCTGAGAACTCAAGGGGTAATAGACTGCCCTCTAGCCGCACATAATTTACAGTCAATTTACTTTATTGTGCTTGTGGTTTTATTTTATAGCGCTTGATTGATTTAAATAATTGCTAATGACAGCTAATTAACACTGCTGTCGACCGAGAACACAAGTGAAATTCAAAAAATGCAAAAGAAATTTAAATTCTGTAGATTGGTTACAAGTATCGAGTTCAAATGAAAACGACACTTAACCGCGGGACTACTACTTACATGCTTAATTTATTCTATATATACAAAAACAAAAAAATATGTAAAAACCACATAAGTCAATTAAGAAGATTAAAGTCAATTTGCTAAAAGCTCCATTAATTATACATACATATTAGTAAAAAAAAAAAACAGAAAAAAAAACGAAGAAACTCGCAAAATGATTTGTCATAAATTTTAATGATTCGTGTTGAGAATAGACAGTTGATTTAAAATATAAATATATATACATAGAAATAGTGTTCCAACGAACACTAAATGAAGCCGATTTTTGAAATGTGGGAAATTAGTTCAAGCAAAAACAACCAAGTGTGGATATTCGAAGAAAAAATTTCCTTTAGACAATTTGCCAATTTCATTGATGTAACCCTTTTACTTTTTTTTTTTTAACAATTTCGAACGATTTTAAGATGGTGAAAAGTTATAGTTTATATGAGGTGTGTTGAGAAAATAAGGTGAGTTCTGAAAAAATATATATTTTTCATCAATTTTTCTTTGCACCCCTCAGCAATCAGATATAATACGATTGTAACAGCGTTTTCCCGCCCTCGAAGCCGTTCTGTATTCCACTTTGTGGGATTTTCTTCACCTTTTCGTTTGCTTACCCCCAATCGTCTCAAAAAAAACACCGATCTTTCATGGCCTCTTTAATTTTGAGAAAATGAAAAGGTTGAAGGAGAGAAATTCGTGAATTTCGCGGTATTTCGGATAATTACAGAGTTGCTTTTGACCTTTGCAGCGGTGCTATATCGTAGTTAGAGCTCCTTTCGTACTAGACCGTGCTAGTTAACCGATATAAACTGAGAGTGAAACGTTGACATTTGCTTGAAGTTGACATGCTCTGATCGAGTCTCTCTATTCGAATCTTCCATGGGAACGAATTGGGCTTGATTTCGATTTTTTGAAAATTCATCCATTTTCCAACGAAATTATCAAGTTACGAAGCTTGAAATACGAGTACATATGTCGTTGATCCATTTTTTTGACGGCAGAATATTGCGTATTATGCCTCCCACAAACAAACTAAATATACTTATTGGTCAAACAGCAAGGAATTTAGTGATTTCATTGATACTAAAGGCAACGGAATTATTACAGGTGACAAATACAAAGCCAAACACTTACTGGGGTTCTCGTCGTGCTAATCCAAAAGGTCGACAGTTATATAGCTTAATTACATGCTTCCAAAATCTTCTTGATATTGCTTCCCCGAGGCCAAAAGATGAAATGCCCGAATGAATAAAGTTTAATGTTATAGATTGATGGAAACTTAAAAATGTAGAAGCCAGTTCTTACTTGTCCTCCGATTATTTGCCAGAGATTATCAAGATATTCTAAAAATTACTTATAGTTGACAACCGATTTCCTCTGACAACGCCCAGAACAAATTGGCTGGAGTCCAGGAAATAACTTAGCACCCGCATGCAAGTGGAAACTGAAGTAATATGTGAAAAGGATATAGAGAACGCTAGTAAAAAGTTTCAATTAATTGCTCTCAACAGCGACCACTGTAGTATGACCAAAATCAACGGAGAGTCTCGGACTACACTGACACCGGTTTCTACTTAAAGGAATTCACCATGGAGGACCGAAAAGAACTTTAAGACGTCACATGGTCCCGTTATGACAAAGGAAAGACAAAAGGCTTACACATCGAAAGTACGACCCCACCTGGTATAAGAGTCATCACAAAACCCTTAAACCTGACAGAGCTACCAAGTATTGCTTTCGGATTGTTCTCCCTACTCTCTCTTAGTGCCAACTTTGAATTTGGATATTTTCGAATATCAAAGGTGCACCGTTATATATGACAAACGGAATTATATAACGAACGTTTTATCCTGCCTAGCAAGCCGAAAACGCCTGCATAGAAGGGACCTGCCAGTCTTTTGCATAGCAACGTTTCACCTGACGTTTATTTCTATTAATGGATTAAAGCTGTCTGAGCCTACTCTATGGATCAGATGCGGTCAGATCAATCTTCCCTCTCGTTTTCTACCAAAGTTATGATCCAATCCATAAATTTTTTGGTATCAGAAAAAAAGAGAAAAAATTAATAGAACTTTTTCGATTATATAAAGGCTATGCCTGGGTTAATTTTGAAGAGGGCAGCGTTTTTTAAGTTCTAAAAGCACTGTTCTATGCAAAGTCGACTTAATCTCATTTAATTAATTGAATTTGTGATTAGTCGAAGAAATGTTTATTTATTTATTTGCACAACCCTTTTTGGAATATTTTGTAACTTCATTCAAATAAATCGTGGTTGGCGTTATGATTATCATAATCATTAAGACTAATAAATTAATTTCGAAAATATATTTGTTTTTATGAACTTACCGTTTTCTTGCCAACTCCATTTGTCGTCTGATTGCTGCCATTGTGGCCATTTGTCGTTGACGTTGCTGTTGTTGCTGCCTGTGACGTCGACATTTTGCCGCCATTTAATTCTTTGCCCTCCATGTCGTCATAGAACTCAAGCTGTGCTGCTAGCGCTGTTGCCGCTGTTTCTTCTCCTCCTTCTTCTTCTTCTTCTCCTTCTACACGCAAGTGATCTGCTTGCAATTGTTCGTATGCCTGTTGTTGCTGCTGTTGCTGCTGCTGTTGCTGTTGCTGTCGTTGTGGCTGTTGCACGTTCTGTGTGGTGTTGGCGATCGTACGCTCACATTCTGTAGGCATTTCAAGTTCAGCTGAAAATAGTTTTCAGCGCTGCTAGTTAACGAGTGTGTGTGTGTGTTTGTTTGTCTTTCGATTTATATTTTTATACTTTTTTTATACTTTTTTTTTCCGTTTTCTATTTATATTTTCAACTATGCAGTTTGTTTCCTTGAGGTACTATGTGCAACATCATAAAAATCACGTCGCGTGCCGCGGAGCACAAACAAATTTTAACGGTTTTGTTGTTCGGAGTTTTTAATCTATATTTTATCGCTTTTTAGCGTTAAATTCGGTGTTGTTTAAAGAGAGTTTTGCTTGTTTGTTGTTTATTATTATTTATATTTTGGTTTCTTGAAGTTTCCCCTTCCTCTTTGGCGCGTGTGATTTCTACAGCGATGCGTGTTAAATTGGTTTGGGTTCTCTTGAATTTCTTCTCAGTTCCGGGGTGTCAGATTTTCCATTAATGCCCACGCTTGTTCGCTGCACTTTTCTAATTGTTGCTGTTGTTGTTGTATTGATATTGTTTTTGATTTATGCACGTTTCGCTGTTGTTTACTCAGCTGCAATTTGACTTGTAGTTGTAGTTGCTATTGTTGGCATAACACTGCATTTAACTTGGAAGTTCAATATCTGAAAATGATAAGAAAATTTTACAAATTTTAGAGAGAATTGTCTAAAAAGTTTAAATAAAAGTTTAGTTTATTTTAAATAAAATATCGAAATTCTTGAAATTATTAATGCAAATTCAGTAATTAACCCTTTTAAGCCACCTAAATACTTTTGGTCATACACAAACATATGTGCATTCATATATGCTTATATTATATGTATGTATGTGCATATACTTATATTTATATATATGCATGTGTGTAGTAAGCTTGAGCCGGAAATTTTACATAATAATGAAAAAGTATCATTAATTGTTGTAGGCGTTCGTGGATATATTTTTATTTCATCATAAATCACTAGCTACATACATACATATGTATGTTTGTTTGTATGTATGTATGTATGTATGCATATATTTGTGTAGTAAATGCGTGTCAAATTGCTAATAAAACACTTTTTTGGTGTCAATCATTCCACTGACGCCCAGCGCTACATGAAGGCAACCATTTTTGGCTCTTCTTAACATTTGAAAGCTTTTATAACCGTTATTTATTTCACAGTAGTATTTTAATTTTGATCATTTAATAACTTAATTATTTTTGTGACTAAATCATCATTTAAAATGGGCCGAAAACAATTTTTGCAGCAAATTATGAACAAAAATTTATGAAAAAACGAAGGGAACACGAACCATCTTCATTACGACGCTTTAAAAATAACGGTGTATAGTTATTTTTTCTTTGGTTATACAAATGGTTTCAATCGGGTTTTTTGTGCAATCTTTAGCTCTTGGCAATCGAAACCAAGCTCACATGATGGTCGGACGCGAAAATATTCATGATTTTATCGACATTTTCGAAAATTGGCTTTCCATTCCGTGAAGCATTTTTTGCTTTAAAAATACCCGAAATAAAACGGAAATTGTGCATGATTGACTGTAACAGTGTAGGGAACACATTTTCGGTCGTCTGGCTTTCGTTTTCGCCCTTATCGAAGAAAAACTATAAAATGTAGTGTATTTTCTCTTTACTAGTGTCCATCTTTGATGCAAGCTCAAACAAAACTGGATCAACCAATCACAAAATTGTTGGAAAAGATTTTTTAGTACGAAATGTTTTCTTTCTAATACCATCTAGCGGAACCCGTTCGGACTTATACAACGCGAAACACAGATAAATGACGCCATCTTTTGGAAAAATAATGGATTTCTTTTTACTACACCTAATATAAAGAGAAGCTCAGAGAGAGGAGTAAGGTGTCTTTATGCATCTGATCTAAAAGTATATACCTTAGTGCCTGCAAATACATAACTGGCAACAACATTGTCGATCAAGCCGTCAAACACGCGAACCAAGGTCCAATTATCAGTATAGAAAACTGGAACCTTCTATATATTACAAATCATATCAACCTCGCATGAAACCTAGCCAATAATTGGTACATAAGCATAAACTGCACAAAGGCTCATTTTTACACAAATCTGAAAAAAAAAATCCTTCACGACTTGAGGTTATCGAATTCGAGTGCCTTAACCTCGGACACACCAAACTAACACCTGAGCATCTTATGATAAACTCATCTTGATACTTACAACGCAAATGAAATAACCACAGTTAGCCACCTTCTACTGAGCTGTCTGCTATATGCCATGCACAGAAAACGAATTTTTATTAGCACAAACCCAATTTCTTATCACTCAGTTCCTTCAGTCGAATCAATCCCCTTAATCACTCATTTTTTTTAAAGAACAAATATTTTTCATAGAATTAAAAAAAAAAGGAATCTAAATTTAAAATGTAGCTATGTACATATGATAAGTAAATATGCAAATAAGTATTGAGCTTAAGGCCTAGCAGATATAGCTCTGAAATAAAGAGCTTATAAGATTTATGTGGTAACCGATATTTTATAGAACCTTTTATATAGTTTTCTTAGGTACCCTAAAATTGTCTTGGAATAGTATAAAATTCATTCAGGAATTTGAAAAGTATTTATATGCATATATAAAATTTAATTAACGTCTCAATTTAGATGTTTGGCGCTAATTGCTGGTATCACGTGAAGGCAGCTCCAGAGTCTTTCTCTTCCTCCATTGCGTACCGCATTGAAAACATTGAGAGCTGGAATTATTTTTTCGCCCATCCGATTTTTATATGTTGAATTGAATTATATCAATCTCCAAGCAAGTTGTAATGTATATACATACATACATGGCGCACAGTCAAGCGTTCTATCTTTTGTAAGGTAAACGCCATAATTTTTTTCTTAAAAACTCTAACTCAATGACTCGCCAAAGAATGCCTTTACTGGTTAGGTTTAGATAAAGATTGTTTATTAAATATAAATCTCAATCTGTGCTCAAATATGACTTGATTGAATGTAGTATGTGGGAAAAATTTAAGGTTTTTTCTCAATCACACCAGAGACTTGCTGGGTGGATTTCAAAGCCAAACATTTTTCAAATCTTATGGGATCGTGGCATATAACAGCAATAAGAACTTTTGGAATGGATAGAGTTTAATTACGAGTATATATGTACATGAAACCGTTGTACTCACAACAAACTGTATTGAGTTAAAGTAAGTCGGAATAGAAGAATAAAAATAAGAGTGAGAAATACTTCCTATTTATACTCAACAGCATGCATGAGGTCTGATCACTTTGACACATTCTTTTTACCCGCTGCACAAAGCCCGACGAAAATTGTTCACGATTTGAACACCAGTACGAGGAGTAAATTATGCGAGTGTATGTTCGTTGCGCTGTTTTGGGAATATGTGTATGTGCGAGTATAGCGATTGAATGTAAATGAATCGAATCACTATTCAAATTATTTTGTAATTGAATCATATACCATTGAAAATTGAATAAATACAATGATTGATACTTTGTATCTTTCGGCTTGACGGTGCTGTCGCCACCAATGCGGTTGCAACGTATACGAGTGATTTCAACATTATTGTGCGTATGAGTAGATCAGAGTAGTGGCATTCGGTTGATTCTTTTATATTCAAAATTTTATGAGCGACTTTGAATAGTATAAAAGATACTAATTTCATGTATCTGGATCGTCGATCATATGATTATAAATATTTTTACTGCATTTCTAACCAAAATTTCGCTGGAAGCTACATCATTCGGCACTTAACTTTAGCTGCTAATATTAATGAATCTTTAATTTCAGTAATAACAGTCTCGATATTTTCTTTGCATTGCGTTTGGTTCTCAAAAATTCCTTTTATCTAAATTTCTAAGTAAATCTATAGGTATTATGTACATATGTATGTATGTATTTCCCAATTTCACTTCACTCTAACAGTTTGATATTCTTGGCCTGAGATTAATTAACCCGCTCATATCAATTATAATGAAGTGGCGGCGAATTTCAAACATTTAAATTCCGCACTATGAAGCCCCAATTGATGACGGGATGAGATGCGAGGTGGAGAAGTGAGCAAGAAGCCAAAGAAGTAAATACAAATAGCAACAACAAACAAGTTTCAACGCAAATCAATGGCTACATTGTTGCATGGCATGAAAGTTTTATTTATAAAGGAAAATGAAGCACATGCTCGTACATACATAAATACATATACATATATACTTATACTACGTGCAATGAATATAACAGTCTTGCAAAGATGTAAGTAAGTTTGTATGTACGTGTATGTATGTATATGCGCTATGAAACAAACAATTATTAATTAATTAAGATAAAAATAACATAAATTCATTTTTAACAAGCGTACGATGACAACAGCAGCAACAACAACAACAAGAAAAAAAAGGAGTAACAGAAAAATGTTAATATGTAATAAGAAACAACACCAGCAGACAAGTGAAACATTTCGAAGTCAACAAACTACTATATGGTGTGACCAAGTTGTAATTGTAAAGACACTTGCGACCCAGTAAGAAAAGAGATTTCAAAAAAAAAAAAAAAAAAAAAAAAAAAAAAAANCAGAAAAATGTTAATATGTAATAAGAAACAACACCAGCAGACAAGTGAAACATTTCGAAGTCAACAAACTACTATATGGTGTGACCAAGTTGTAAAAATAAAATAAAATAAAATAAAATAAAATAAAATAATATAAAAAAAAAAAAAAAAAAAAAAAATATGCCGTTCTTATAGCTCAAAACTTTTATTATTGAATATAAAATATATATATATATAATAAAGTGGCAAAAAAACTCGAAGAGATACTAAAACATTTTCCAACGCTCCACTGAAATTAATAAGCCGTCTCCTCTAAGCTTTTTGTTGGCTTAAAAGTTTTAAAATCCCAATTTGGTTTTATTCTCTCCTCAATAACTTTTGGAATAGATTAAATGAAAATTAGATTGAACGTTTTGCTACTAGATTGGGAGTTGAGCGGAGTTGCCACCTGCTTAGAATGTTGTCTTTAAATTAAACGAACAAATAATTCAAAAATTGCAATGTAAATAAATTTAAGAAGTTCCACTCATTTAAAAAAATATTTTATTATAGGAAATTTTATTTCTTAGATAATATTTATTATTAAAATTTACTAAAAGTACTAGTTGTTTGAAAATTTGGATTAAATGGTATTAGTAATTTGAAGGTAGATTCGAACCAAGCTGATAAGGCAATTATTTATGTGTAGGGTTGCCATTTTTATATATTTTGATTGCAAGATACTATGAGTAATGCCGAGTGCGGCTTGGAAAGTAGAAAAATAAAGAATATTTTTAATTTCCTGCAGGGAAATGTGTACACTTTCACATACACATAAGTACACACATCCAGCGAGCTGTTATCTGTCAACTGCTTGCTACATCTTGTAAGAGATAGCTGTGCGAAAGCCGAATTGCAAAACTTTGACAGTGTTGCCAGGGTTAAATGCGTACAAATAGTAAGTAATAAAAAGCGGAGCAGAATTTTTGAAAAATCTTAAACATTATTTTCTTCTTCTTTTTTCCCCCCTTATCATTATTATTATTATTATTATTCGCTGCCTTGCAATTGACACTTGGTCGAACAAGTGACGCCACAAAGC